ATCTTTGCTTACCTTTCTTCAGAATGAAGTTCTCTACAAACTTGGTCGTCTTACCCATCCCTGTTCGGGCATTGATCCCATAGTTGTCGCGAACGCTACTGTCACTGTCAAGGATGCTGCTTGCAAGGGTGTCGAACCAGTCGTCGCCGGTCCTGAGGTGGACGCTGTGCCCGTTCGTATTGACGTAGTAACCGTACGTGAGAACGGGCAACCCGTTGCTGTTAAGCCAAAAAGAGCCGGACATGCCTTTGACGGCTGTACCGGCTGTGACGACGGATCGAGCCTTGCCGTCTGTCGTGACGCTGGTGACGACGCCGTTGAAACGAGTCCCATCGCCGTCGGTGACGTAGACAATGTCGCCGATGGTGCAGCTGACGAAGGGGCTGCTGTCGTACCCACCAAAACACACTAGGTCGTGACCCTTGACGTTCACGCCGGTGATGGTTTTGCCTCTCCAGGTGATGCGGTTTCCATGCTCGATGAGCGTGTGGCCGCTTGTCCAAGCTTTACCGTTGAAAAAGCTGATAGTACCGCAGGGAATGCCGCGGTGTTGGAGGATGTTCCTTTGACCATCCCTTTCTTGGCAGTAGGCGACGAAATCCTGGTCGTTGCTTTCGTTGCTGCTGGCGACGCCGACGACGTTGCTGTTGGTGTAGCGGTCGTCTTGAATGTGGCGCATGCCGGCGGTTATCAAGGCGCCGTCGGCTGTGTTGGCGACGATGCTGCTAGGACTCCCGTCGTTGTTGTAGTAGACGATGACCCGTGGCTTGGCGCTGTGAATGAGGCCGTTGACGATGGGCTCGCCTTTGTCGTTGTCGAAGACGTGCAAGACGTCGATGATGTCGCTGCCGCGGCCGGTCTTGTAGCCGATGTTGTAGCTGTTGTGGGGGTCTAGGGACCGGCGGAGGTTGTCAATGAACCCGTTTTGAAACTGGCGAGTCCGCCACCAGCTGATGTGCCTTGTGCCAAAAGGATAGCCGTTGCCGATGACAGAAAAAGCGTGAGTCAACGCGATGCTTCCTACAAAGCCATGACTGCTTGTTGTTGCTCGGCAAGGGCCTTTGATGCACGCGGCACAATGACGCTCAATGATGTCGAGGATGTGGCCGCCGTCAACGCTGATGGTGGGGAAATAGAAAGGGACGCTGACCCCAGACGTGTTGTATCTGTTTAGCGTCCCACTCAATTCCTTACCGGTGAAGGCGACCCCAGCTCGCAAAATCATCTTGTCGTCAAAGCTGTAGTCAAGGCCGTCGATGTAGGCGATGCAGCGCTTCTTACGATCCCATCTGTTGATGATGGTGTTGATACCGTCGTCGCTGGTGTAGTGGTAATTATCGTCAACATGAAAGTTGTCGTTGGCGATGGAGGTACCAATGTCGCCGAAACTGGAGAGGCTGCAGTGCCGGGCCTTGTAGTAGGCGTCCTTGATGTGGATGTCGACGCTGCTCTGGAGGTTGAAGATGTTGACGATGACGATCAGGTCGATCCACCCGACGATGCCGTGAAGGCGGGTGCCGTCGAAGTTCAAGGCTGTGTTGCTGTTGACGCCGCTGATGCTCTCCCCTTGGAAAAACAACCCCTTTTGACAGCTGTCGACCCACAGTTGGCGCCTGTTGTCGTCGATGATGATGTCGATGCAGAAGGAGTCACTGTTGTGGACGCCGATGCTGACGGGGATGTTGTTGCTGACATGAGTCAACAGCTTGGCGGCGAAGAGGTCGGGGTCACTGTCGCTGTCGGTGCAGTCGAAGATGAAGTGGCCGTTGTCACAGTTGAAGGCGAAGCCGCTTGTTTGATAGACGATCTCGGTGATGTCCCTGACCCCGGGAACGCTGTCAGGGATGACGAGCTGGAAGGGGCCGTTTGGGCCGGAGGAGACGCCATTGACAAGCGCATGCCGGACGCGGCCGACGTAGTCTAAGACGTAGTCTTCGATGCTGAGCTTGTGGTGGTCGGGTTCGTCTTTGACGCCGTCGATGACGCGCTGCCAGTCGTTGCCAAGAAGTTCCTTGATGGCGCTGTCATTGAAGATGATGTCCTGGCAGACGCTGAGTTCGAGGACTTCGCCTCGGTTGTTGACGCCGCCCAAAGAGACGACTGGCTTGGCGGGACCTCGCCAAGAGATGCCTGCCAAGACCTTGGCTCCATAGTGGTTGTAGCAGGCGGGGACACCGTCCTGGAGGCACAACACCTTCTTGGTGAGTCCGTTGACGTCAAGACTGCTAAAGCTTGTGACGGCGATGAAGGTGAAGTCGCCGTTCCTCGCAGCCAGCGCGTTGACGAGTTTCGTTTCCAAGGCGCCGACTGCGCCGGCGTTGAGAAACTTGTCTTCGACGGTGGTGTTCTGGTAGACGAAGGTCGCCCTTGCGGCGTCACTGCTGACGAGGCCTCCGACGGCGGAGGGCACCGAGTGGCCGTTTGACCCTTCAATGTAGGCACTGACGTCCTTGTTGAAGTCGATGACGTACGGATCGTCGGAGAAGTCGCCCGTGATGGCGCCGTTTCTGGGGAAACCCCGCGCTGCGTAGAGAGCACGGTCACCGTGATTGGCGCGCCAGATGCCATGTCTTCTCTCCGGCGGAAAGGTCGAGGTATCTAGGCCAACGCTGAAGTTGGAGTGAGGACGCGTGGCCCTTGTCTGAGACCTGACAGTGCCGGTGTACACGGCTGCTACTGCTTGACCATTTGTTATGGAGACCGCGGTACGCAAAGGTCCCATAGTCGTTATGTCAAGTAGTGAGTCGCTGGAGGGGCTGAAGTGGACGCCGCCGTAGGCAGCTCTAAGGCTGTTTTCACCGTCGTAGAAAGTGAAGTCAGCTTTCCGTTTCAGCTCGCCGTCTTTGCTCAAAGTGCCAGAAAGCCCCTCACCCTGCGACGGGGAGTTGCTGGCGAGTTTGTTTTGTTCCATAATTTCAAAGCTGGACGTAGGCCTGTTTGAAATTTAATGGAGAGAAATTCTTTCCCAAACTTCCGCGTTCGGGGAACTGAGCTCCGCAGAGCACGCACGCTAAGCTGCGTAGCAGCTTACTACCAAGGCTGTTCTTAGTCCGCAAACGATGAACCAAGAGCACGTAGTGCTCCCGAGTCACCGATGAGGCTGAGTCTTGAGCCAAAATGGCTACGACAGCTCCCTACATACAAACGTACATACATACATGCATGCATACATACACACCTACACACATACATGCATACATAATTGTGCGCTGCGCGTTTGCGCCCCTCCCCCCCCTCCACTTGGAGGAGGGATTATCACGTGCACAACCATTGGAAGAATGCCTAAACCAAACCACCCAACCATTCCACACGCAAGCTCAGAGAGGTCAGATGGGTGCTGCATAAATGCAAGCTAACCAACTAGACAGCTACGTACGCACACATGTGTGTCGGCATGTGTATGCAACTGTATGTACATACGCCTACGTTTATGCGTTTGTTTGTTTGTCATTTACGTCATGGTGGTATCCCAGGAGTCCGTGTGAGGACAGGACGGCCCACGACTTCAAGCATTCCAATCGTAGCCGGCCCTACATGGTGCGAGCCTAGGCCCGGGTTTTGAACTCAAGGATGAAGATACAGGAGATAACGAAGATAACAGTAACTAACACGCTTTAGGTTTCTTGCGTCATTGACGTCAGATACCGTCGTAGGCTCCGCGACAGCAGCGGCCAATTTCGATTTGGTGGCCTTGAATATGTCGAGCTGGGGCTGGGGCGAAAGCTCTTGGAATCTACGATCTACGCGTGCCAGCTACGGACCACAGTATCAGTTTCAGCGCTAGACTTCTCCGAATCAGATGCTGAACAAACCGTGAAATCTTCGCTGAGGGGTTTTACCACCTGTCCAACTCAGATGCTCTTCCAGGCCTCTTGAAAAGTATCAAACGATTCTCGCCCACGTGCCACGTCCTCCGGAAATCCATAGAAATCGACCATCAGTACACGAGGTCCCGCGGCTTTCGTACTGAGTGGCGCGCCGAGTCTCTGGCAAACTGGCCGAGCCAACCTTCACAAGGATCACTATCACTACGCACCACCTGACAAAGAAGCTTTCGAGTATGTAACCGATGCACTGATAGGCCCTGACAGTTGTCAGATGTTTGAGATTCTGCAGCTTGTTCTGGTGAGAGCACGCTGGGGATGTGCACTGGCATGCTTCTGTTTCCGTGCCAGACTCCCCCCCGCTCGAGGTTGTGAAGGCCTGCACTCGGTCCGTCACTCATGTTGAGAGGAACCGAACCTTTTGACATGAGGGGTGCGACATGGAGGATCCATGTTCTCCTACCCACGATCTCGGGCTTCAGCAAGTCGTTGTTGAAAGAGCTCAGTTCTGGACAGAGAAATCTGACGAGCTACTAAACCTCAACTCGTTGAGCACTTACCGGAGACCCAATGTTGAGCACGGAGTCCGGTTCTTCGAAGACTGGGCAGGGAGGCACTTGCGGGCCGGTGTGGGCTAAGAGAACCGATGCCTGGAGCCGAGAGATGCGGATGCATCTGCAAAGAGCAGGCTGCTAGCAACGCGGCTCGTGATTTGCGGCTCATCGGTGCATCCTTCTCACGAGATCTGACTGCTAAACAGCTTTCCGTCGTCTTCTTGCGTCTACTCGCAGGAATTGGACCGTGTCGCAACTTTCCGTTTGCTTCATTGAAATCTTCAGAGATGTACGTGATTGTCATGATACGAAAGACCAGACTACTGAAGTGAGGCACTATACGCCTCAAGTCTAAGTTAAGTGATTTGTCTGATGATTCTCTTGTCCGTTGCGCGGCCTGTTCTTGCTGCTCCTTTCTTGGCGTCGCGCTAGGCTTGCGATGATGCCAAACAATAATTCTTCCGTGCACCCTCACACCGTTTTTGGATTGAAACAGTGGCAACCGTCACAAAGGTCCTCGTGACAATTATCGCCCTTGGATCCGCACATCTCGAGCGCTCGTGACATTCCCAGAGCATTCCAGTGGAAGGAAATTTGGGGCCCAGCGATGCACCGCGCCTGCTCAGCAGCCCTTGTCAAAGTGCAGGCAGCAGAAGTGCTTCTTCCCGCCAGACCAGCCCGCCTGAACAGCACCGTGACAGGGTCGCAAGCTGTGATCGGGGCGTGCGCCGCACAGGGTCCATCCACCCTGCCACTTGGGGCCGGACCGTGACGCCGGCGAAGCAGTCGAATTGCAGGTTGCCATGCGTGTGGACCTGTTTTATGTCGACACGACCAGTGCTGATTTTCATGATGAGGAGATGCCAGATGCGCTGCACCCGGCCTGGACCCAGTGGCCCGAGCCGCCAGACGAGGACTCGGACAAGGCACAGGATGGCACAGGCATGCGCAGCAACTGGCCCTAGGCCCTATATAGGCAAAAATTTCGAACTTCAATGACGTTCATCACAACTTGCTCCGGGCCGCCCAGTGCCACATCATGCCGGAACCAGCCGCGGAGGGAGGATGGCCGTGGAATGAATATGCACCGCCGAAGCTGCCACCTCCGCCGCCTCTCGCAAGTGGCCGCGGTCCCAACATTGGGCATGCGACACGCAGCTTCGGTATGTTCCCCTGCCTGTAACCACGGTGTGCGTCGTGACCACGGTTTTTCCACCGCCCCCAGCGCCGGCGTAGTGGTAGCCAGGGCAGCCCACCTTCTCGTGGGAACAGCACCTCGACACCAGAGTCGGTCGGGTGCTTCACGATGGTCCGGACATGTCTGTATGCTGTTGCACATAAGCGTGCGCCGATGGCCATCTACAGAAGGCGGCAAGGCGGGCACCACGTCTTCTTCGGCGCCGACCATCCCGTGCCCCAATTGCGCAAGCCTCAGACGCAGCACCGCCGGGGCTTTCGAACAGAAGCTGTGCTGAGCCCCTCGGTGCTTGTGGCCCAGCAACCGGCGTGGCAGTCATAGGGCTTGCTCACGACCGAACCGCCCACAGCAGCTACGGCCTGCCGAAAGCGGCACGGGCATTGCAAACGATGAAGCGCACTCCGTGGGAGGCCTGCCACGTCCAGTGGTTCGAGACGAAGACCTTCCTGACATCTGCAGCTAACCGTTTGGCAACCACCGCGGCTGCAAGATCGTACGAGTGGCTGGCTACCCATGGCTGCTCGCCCTGC